TACAGGATCATTACGTTGCCGCTCATTCCCTAATCTTGAAATTCAACATCAGTAGTTATTGTTCTATATAGCTGTGTTTATCATAACCTCTCCTCTCCAGCTTTTGTTTCAACGTCAGTTGAAATCATTACCTTTCTGATAATGATTTACAGGATCATTACGTTGCCGCTCATTCCCTAATCTTGAAATTCAACATCAGTAATTACTGTCCTATATAGCTATGTGTATCATAACCTCTCCTCTCCACCTCAGTTTTGTTTCAACGTCAGTTCTAGTCATCATTTGCTCTGTTTGCTGTACTTGCTGTGCCTGCTTATGTATTAGTTGATAGTTTAATTTTAAACTTGTAAAAGCATGGTGTTAGCTTCATGTAACTAAGGACGCATTTGTTGCCGATAACCGCCAAGATAAACCGATTCTGTTTGCTGGTTGTTCATGTTGCAATGTTTGAATCTGTCTTAATAATAAATTTTGTCACGTACTCTCCAACCTCCTGCTAAGGTTTATACGAGACGGATATGGAGACCGGACCAGTATATTACTAAACTCTGCTTTTTTATCTTCGCATTTCTAGCGTGTGCTTAATTGCATTTTTTTTCGATATTTATACGCGTGGAGACGTGCAGAACCCTAGTAAACGGACATGTCGTTTGCATTTTTTTATTGACATATAATTTCAAGCGTGTATACATGCTTGTATTTACCTCTTTTTAGATGGAGCACGTTCGTGTAGTTCCGAAGCTTCTCTGATTCGGTGCCAACTCCAGTGACAGTTTCAAGCGGTTTCATCGATGTTCACATCTACGTCGGTAATTGCTCGAAGTGTGTTTCTCTGGAAGAAAACGATTAATTATGTGCTGTCTGCTAAAGTAAATTAGGATTGTTATCTTCAGTAGAAAAATCTTCTTTTCTCGATAGTAGGAGGAATTTCGGAAACTTCTAAAAATATTTAATATCGTAACCTTCAGCTACTTACCTCAAACGTATGAAGCAATACAGGAGGTTGCATAATTAAGCAGCTCTTGTAAAAGCTGAAGGTGACCGAAACAAAAAAAGAGCACGTGCATCTCTCAATTACATTTGCATCTAAGTGCGGATGCATGAAAAAAGAATCCGTTTACATTCAGCCACAGTGCAAACTCAGGAAATGGTTTCAGACATCAAACATCGTTTATCTTACAGACGTCTACCTTGGAAACAATCTGCTTCGGGAGCATTTCAGGAAGCTATCTGTTTGTTTTTCTTTAGTTGAATTGTAAAGTACGCAGACATTTTAAAGTACCCTTCGCGTCGTTTAGTAACCATAGACAATAGATCTTATCCCCGAATCGTGACGCCGCTGGCAGTCCTTGATACTGTTGATACGCAGAAAAGTCATGGACATCTCCGCTTTCTGCTATTTTTCCATTTACAAAGGGTTAAATCGCGGATAACCACAATTTGTGATTCATAATTTCTGTTTTCTTTTTGCTTTTTTTTTTCCCCCTTTCTCCATATTAGAGATCCTAGTGCATGACGTCATTTGCCAGCTGTTCAAATTAACTGAGACATATTCTTGGAGCTTCTGGAAAAGAGCAAACCCAAAAAGCATCCAAGAAAGCGATTTTCCGTTTTTCGTTTCAATGATAAAGAAAATGATTGGTTTCACTTCAAAAGGAAAATAAAGGAATACCTTTGGCCAACTCGTGCATGCTCGCACAGTAATCTAGAGATGAAACATGGTTGGGAACTTTCAGCAATGCTAGGTTGCACTTATCCCACAGGCCAAGCTTTCGAAAAAGTGACTGAGATCCAGAACTCTAGAAACTGTCGAGCTCCGCAGAATAATAAATGCATATATAGTCTTTAGAAACAGCACAAAATAGTACCCTGCGTTTATCGAATTTCCGTTTCCAAAGTTCGTCAAATTTAGATGCGGTGATCCAATCTTTCTTCAACTACACAAGCCAAACTTCATTATTTTCCATCCTTATGTCACGTTTCGCCTCACAATTGCTCAATAAACATTTGCATTTTAACGTAATTATTTTTGCTTACAGGGTTTTCTCCCGCTTGCACCTGATACCAAACCTCTAAGTTTTCTGCCTCGGAACGAAAATACCTCAGAACGCATTTTATGCGACCGCAAGTTTTTTTGACTGATGGAAAATAAACATAGGCGGCAGTGAATTTCACAAGTTTTCCTTTGTCAGAAAAGCAGGGATTATTTTCGTCCTCTTCAGATGGATCCAGCCGCCAATGTTTACATAACGTACTTGAATTCAATCACGGTTTTTGTCTTGCACCAGGTTTGTGTCTGAAAAAGAAAGTTTTCTTTTTTCGCTTGCAAGGTTATATTTAAAGCAACGATGTTTAGCATTTAACAAAGTCACTATGCGCAGTGGTTTCGCGCTCGGGCGAGTTCGGGACGACTAATTACTACAGTGTCTACCTCTCAGTTAGTGAGTGACTATTTTCATATCGGAGTCTCCATGAAGACTAGTTTGCACAAGTGAAAAAAGAAAAATTCAGTAAAAAGCAAACAAAAATATTAATGCGCCACATATATAAACAGCGGTCTCTAAACCTACATACAAAAAGCGTTAAAAAAATTAAATTATTGTTAACTGTGAAGGTTGTCATTTTTTACTAACGGAAAAGCTAATAATGGGAAACTTTTCAGTCAACTGAGAGACAAACTCAGGCCATACATTTGGCATCGGAG